AAAGAATAAATTAGTTTTAATCAAGAAGGGACTTGTATCGCTGAAGTTACTGGGAAATTATCAAACAAGCAGATACGTAACAGTATAAATAGGTTTGATTGGTTTAAACCCAACATACGGGTAAGTAACTCTGCTTTATGTAAATAGGTACCTTTTTATTGCGAAATTTAAAAAAAAATTATACACAAACATACATAAATGTTTTCTTTCTTAATACTTGTTTATGCTAAGTCACTTCTTACCTTCTTATGAACTCGGAAAATCCAGGTTTTGATATTTTGGTAATGATTGTGAGAAACGAGTTCGACAGTGAAGACAGGTCCAAATTTTCGTTTCCTTTCCCTTTCTGTAGGCCAAAATGGCGGATAAGCCTTAAAAGTCGATGAATAATGTATAATTATATCTCTTTTAACGTTTTACAAATATGCCAAGTTATACTTATATTGACAGTGTTATACTTACAGATGATGTGGGAATGATATTAGAAGATTGAGTTGATGAGTGTTATACTTACAGATGATGTGGGAATGATATTAGAAGATTGAGTTGATGAGTGTTATACTTACAGATGATGTAGGAATGATATTAGAGTATTGATATTTGTGATATGTGAATCTAATTATTTTGCATGTTTGCTTTAACAAACTGAATAAAAACGTATTTTCTGTTGAAACAAGGAGTGAAATAATTGGTTAACCCATTATATGACATAGAGAAAAAAGAATTACGAATTGGCCAATATAGTAGTGTTTAACAAACTGAATAAAAACGTATTTTCTGTTGAAACAAGGAGTGAAATAATTGGTTAACCCATTATATGACGTAGAGTAAAAAGGAACTACGAATTGGCCAATATAGTAGTGTTACTATATACTTTAAAATAATTTTAAAATATTCCCTTGATCTTAGGATAAATCAGTTCATTGACAGGCCTACTGAATTTTATTTTTAGATTTAAAATTGTTTCTTTTGAACCCAAATGAAAATGATAAGATTGAGTTGATCTATCTTATTGTCTTATCGAATTACCTTCTATCTTATTGTCTTATGTTATCAAATTACGTTCTGTCTTATTGTCTTATCTTATCACATTACCTTCTATCTTATTGTCTTATCGAATTACCTTCTATCTTATTGTCTTATCTTATCGAATCATTATCACTAGCTGCTTCAGTCCATTTATAGAGAATTCATTACTCTGATCCAGAAACACAATCCACGTTTGGAAAATCGTGAACCTATCGAAAGCTATGGGGTTCGAAGTGGGTACTGTCCCCCCCACCTATGCCGACGCCTATGACTTGGTCATCATACTTTACTCAAGGATCTTATGGTTACTTCTCTTACTCCATAAACATCAAATCCTTAACGTTCAATAAAAAAATATTTAACATTTAATAAAATAATCAAACTTATATTAATGTGTAACAGTTTCTTAACAGTTAATAACACATTATTTATTTTTATAATCAACCAAAAATTTAAAATATAGAACTATTATCTAGCTATCATCTACCACGTTATTTGTACAGCGGCCATTTTTATTTCTAGGGCTACACCAGGTCTAAAGAATATATCGTTACTGAATGGCCAACTTACAAGACGATTCCCAACCTATGGTCCTTGGTATACGACCACGACTGTAACTCTGTCATTGTTCTTTGCAGCGCCCTCACCCCTCCAAACGTATGTAAATATCAGATTTACTTTAAATACGTTTATCGTGCGTTTGTAAATATATTTTTTATTACATAACTAAAATATTGGTAACACCAAAGTTGAATAAATTATTGTTCAATTATTGCGTTTTTAGTTGATGAAAAAAAAAAGGCTTAGCATGGCCTGGTGGTTAGGGCGAATAGCGAGTTCGAATCTCGTCACCGTTTTAGTTGTGGGGGTCATTATAATGTCACGTTCGATCGTACTTTTTGTTTAAAATAATAACCCAAGAATTGGATGATGTTGACTAGTCACGTCTATCACTTCTAACCTAGAGATAGCTAGCGCAGATAGCCTTTACGAAAAATACCAAAAAACAAACAAACCGAAAGAAAAAAAGTCATAAACTGTTACACTGGAGTGAATTTCTCTCCCCAGACTCCAAAACACTGAATAAAAATAAAATAAAATAATAAAAATTCCAGATTAATGTCAGAAACTTCATAAAATTATATATACTAGCTGGAGTACCCGTTATGTAAATATATGATTAATGAAAGGCTATCTTAGGACATGGAAAGTTGCTTCCCTTATATGTAATTGTAAAAAACGCCCATAAAAACTGCAAAACGTGAAACCGCAAATTTGCGGGTATATTCACATCTCCAACCAACCTTCATGATAAATTTGGTGACGATCCATCAACAGGGGCGAAGTAGTGGTGAAAAACGCAGAACTGAAAACCTGTATGTATCTCGCTATGGATTACCACAACCTCCCCTTCCTGTGGATGGTTCTTTACCAGATTACAGATGATATGGGAATGATATTATAAGATTGAGTTGATGAGTGTTATACTTACAGATGATGTGGGAATGATATTTCTTATCACATTACCTTTTAAGACAATAAGATAGAAGGTAATTTTATGAGATAAGACAATAAGATAGAAGGTAATTTGAAAAGATAAGACAATAAGATAGAAGGTAATTCGATAAGATAAGACAATAAGATAGAAGGTAATGTGAAAAGATAAGACAATAAGATAGAAGGTAATGTGAAAGATAAGACAATAAGATAGAAGGTAATTTGAAAGATAAGACAATAAGATAGAAGGTAATTTGAAAAGATAAGACAATAAGATAGAAGGTAATTTTATGAGATAAGACAATAAGATAGAAGGTAATTTGAAAAGATAAGACAATAAGACAGAACGTAATTTGATAAGATAAGACAATAAGATAGAAGGTAATTTTATGAGATAAGACAATAAGATAGAAGGTAATTTGAAAAGATAAGACAATAAGACAGAAGGTAATTTGATAAGATAAGACAATAAGATAGAAGGTAATTTTATGAGATAAGACAATAAGATAGAAGGTAATTTGAAAAGATAAGACAATAAGATAGAAGGTAATTTGATAAGATAAGACAATAAGATAGAAGGTAATTTTATGAGATAAGACAATAAGATAGAA